TATGATTGTGCAGCTACCCATCCAGGCTGTCACATTGTAAAGTTTGCAGAGGATACAGCGGTGGTGGGATGCATCACAAACAATGATGAGTCCAGCTACAGGCAGGAGGTGGAACACCTGGAGAGCTGGTGCAAAGAGAATAACCTTCACATCAATGTGAAGAAGCCAAAGGAGATGATTGTGGACTTCAGAAGGAACAAACACACCTACACCCCCCTGAACATAAGAGGATCTGCGGTGGAAGTGGTCTCCAGCTACAAGTACTTGGGTGTACACCTGAACAACAACCTCAGCTGGAGCAACAACACCACCAGCCTGATCAAGAAAGCTCATCAGAGACTCTACTTCCTCAGACGGCTGAGGCGAGCTGGTCTGGGAAGCTCAGTCCTCACCTCCTTCTACAGGTGTGCAGTGGAGAGCATCCTGTGCTCCAGCATCAATGTGTGGCATGGAGGCTGCACAGCTGCAGAAAGAAAAGCTTTGCAGAGAGTGGTGAAGGCTGCACAGAAGATGTTGGAGTCAGTCTCCCCACCATCACAGACATCTACACCTCCAGATGCAGGAAGAGGGCCACCTGCATCATGAAGGACCCCACTCACCCAGCACACACTTTTTACCCCACTCCCCTCAGGAAGGAGGTTGAGGAGCATTAAGTGTAGAACCACTAGACTGAGGAACAGCTTCTACCCTGAGGCTGTTAGACTCATGAATCTCTAACTAGAATAATCACTGTGAAAAACCATATCATGTTGCTGCTGATCTGTTTCATGTTGCTGCTGATCTGTTTCATGTTGTTGCTGATCTGTTTCATGTTGCTGCTGATCTGTTTCATGTTGAAGCTGATCTGTTTCATGTTGCTGCTGATCTGTTTCATGTTGTTGCTGATCTGTTTCATGTTGCTGCTGATCTGTTTCATGTTGCTGCTGATCTGTTTCAATGTTGATGTGTTCATGCGTGCACATCTGCTCACAGACTCATGTTCATGTTTGTGCTGATGTTCAATGTTTTATGTTATGAGTGCTTAGTGTATATTTAGTTGATGTTTTTCTTAGTTCATATCTTAGATGTTATTACTGTTTTTCTTATACATTTTATTGTTGGATGTAACTGGGACCCTGTGTACATAATTTCACTCCACCACATGTACCACATGAGGTGCGAATGACCATAAAGAGTCTCTGACCTGGTTTCAGGTTGTGAACGAGAAGCTGGCGCACTGCACGCAGCTCACGGACCTGATGAGGAGCCACCTGAGTGAGAAGCACAGCTTCAGGCTGGAGTGGATGATCGTCGTCCTCATCACCATCGAGGTAAAACCGCTCGGCTTCATTTAAACTTCAGCAGACACCCGAGTCACTTCCAGAGTTTTACACATCACAACATGAACCCGTCCGACGTTTTAACAAGTTCTACATCAGTTTTTTGATCCAGCATAGTCTTTTTTTATAAACAAGAACCAAATAAAAAGATGCGAGTGAAAAAACTGAATCCATCCCAGCTGCTGATCAAATGTATTGATGAACTGATCATCAGCTGTGAGCAGCTCTATCAAAACAGTCAGCGTGCTGCTCATCCAGATGTGTGTTAGCACAATCAGCAATGAGCTGAGAGAAGCAACCGTTGCTGCTCATTAACCTTGTAAAGGTCATTTCCAAACTATTGGGTCCATCTGGACGATTTGTTTTTGTTGAAACGTTTTGCCTTTCATCCAGAAGATGAGCACCATCTAACTGGTTGATCAGGAGCTGTTTGTAAGACCGGGTTTGTTGCAGCTCCTCAGACTGAAGAAGTCCTTTGGATGAAAGATGAAACGTTTCAATAAGAAGAATCCATCCAGAGGACCTGACTCAACCTTGTTGGATTTTTCTACCTGGATTGTTGAGCAGCATCAGGAGACTTGGTCCATCATTCTGATGAACACATCATCTAATCTACAACAGAATGGCCCAAAAAGAAAAGACTTAAGGTTTTACATTGATTCAGTTCAACTCCAGACGTCAACCTGACGCTTCAGGGAGCTGAGCAGAAGCAAATGTCTACAAAGCTGGAAAGAAGAGTGGGGCAGAATTCCTCCACAACCATGTGACTCATAAAGCCCCACAGAGTTCCTGCTGCTGGCTGAGGTTCTACAAGCTGCTGGATCAGACAATGGAAGCAGTCCGGTCTCCAGAACCATGTAGAATCTGATTTTCTTCACTTCTGGTTAGATTTAATCATTTTAGAAGCTGCTAAAGACCCACTCACTTTTATTATGCTTTTATAAACTTTCTTTTCCTCCTGACTGTCCGTAGAGCAGTGACCCACACCTGCTTAAGGTTTAAGGTTTCCTTGTCATTCGTACAGCATGTGGTACATGTGGTGGAATGAAACGGTGTACACAGTGAAGTTACTGGCACCCTGGACACAGTTTCACTCCACCACATGTACCACCTGTGGTGGAACGACAAATAAACCTGTTCTTTGTTTCCTTTGAAGGTTCTGTTTGAACTGGCAAAGATGATCTTCTGAACCGCTGCACGGGTCTGGAGAACCATCAGAACCTTCCTCAGAACTGCTGCTGAGCCATGTGGACCATCGAACCACTGAAGCAGCTTCATCATTTTAATAAACGTCTTGATGAGAGCCGGTTCTGTTCAACTGACTTTTTGTTGTGAATGTTGTACATTTTAATAAAGGACGGATATTTCAACAATTCACATCGTTTATTTAAAGTTCTAGTTTTAAACTTTCTTCAGTGGGTCTTGTTATATTGTTGTTTTATGAACAACTTTTATGTTCAAGGTTCTTTGTCATTCACGTCACATGTGGTACATGAGGTGGAAAGAAACTGTGTACTCACGATCCCAGTAACATCCAAAAATAGCAAAAATATAAAGTATAAAAAAAGAAACTATAAAATGATCAATGAAGATATAAAACTAAACAATAATAATGTAAAATAATGTGGTGTATTGAACAGCAGCCTGAACATGAGTCTGTTGTGAGCAGATGGGTTTGGATACAGCAGCTTAAAGGCAAGAGATCAGCAGCATGGATAATCAGCAGCACAGATTAAGTCACATATCTACAATTAAAGTGTCAGTACAGTGATAATCCTAATTAGAGATTCATGAGTCTAACAGACTCGGGGTAGAAGCTGTTCCTCAGTCTAGTGGTTCTACACTTAATGCTCCTCAACCTCCTTCCTGAGGGGAGCGGGACAAAAAGTGTGTGCTGGGTGAGTGTGGTCCTTCATGATGCAGGTGGCCCTCTTCCTGCATCAGGAGGTGTAGATGTCTGTGATGGTGGGGAGGCTGTGCAGCCTTCACCACTCTCTGCAGAGCTTTTCTTTCTGCAGCTGTGCAGCCTCCATGCCACACGTTGATGCTGGAGCACAGGATGCTCTCCACTGCACACCTGGAGAAGGAGGTGAGGACTGAGCTTCCCAGACCAGCTCGTCTCAGCCGCCTCTGATGTTTCAGCGTTTAACTTGTTCATTTTAAAGTGTTTGCCAGTTTTTCAGGTGAAACGAGAAGCGCAGAGTTTGTTTAACCTAAAGCTAAATGAAAAGAGCAAGAAATCAAAAGCAGCGTGTGCAGGTAATATTTTATTCAATTAAAACAATCCATTAATTAATAAAACTCTGGTGAAAACAAACAGAGATCCATGGCTGCTTGTTCCCGTCTAATTAGTTGAAGTTAAATAAAACCAGACGTGATATTTTCAGATCTGATGGGAACAAAGGTGAGAAGACATCAAGTATAAAGCTTTTTATTATTAACATTTTGCAGACGTGTTGATAAAAAGTAGAATTAGTCACATAAACAGATACATTTCCACTTTGTCATGACTTCATAAGCCCTTATTTTGAAATCAGACCAAATTAGAAATACTTTTCGGTTGTAAATGAGCACAGATTAGCTTTTAGAACATAAAAACAAATGTACAAGACAAATATAGCTTCAGGATTTGTTTATATAAGTAAAATAACTGAATAAATGCTGCATAATGAAAGCAGTGAACAACCTACACACAATAATACAATGGTTCCCAACCCTGGTCCCTGAGGAACACCATCCTGTGTTCTTCTGCTCCAACACACCTGATTTGAATATAAGGGTGATTAACAAGCTTCTGCAGAACTTAAGGACGTAATTAAACCACTGAATCCGGTGTGCTGGAGCAGGGAAACAACTGAAACATGCAGGGTGGCGTTCCTCAAGGACTAGGGTTGGGAACATGTTTGGGTTCAACTAAAACAGTGCTTCTTTTGGAGTCACGTAAAGGTTAATAAATTAAAAATGGGATTCTGTCTGACATGTTTTTTTTATTATTAAACAAAGCTTTAAGTTAAATGATGGAGACCTGACATGATCAGTTTAACTCGTTCTTTTACTGAAAGAGGCTCTCGGGGGGCCGATCAATGATGTCATCCCAAACCAAGATGGCTGCCACAGCTACTCGACCTCGACCAATATAAGAAACGTTCATAAAGACATTGGACTGTGTTTGGTTTGGTAGTAGCCGAGAGTCATCAGACGATAAGCGATATTTGGCCAAAACGGCCACGACGCCATCTTTTCTCAACTTTATATGAACTTGGCTCAAAACTGGCATGAACGGCGGCGGCCATATGCTTTCTTTGATGTTGACCATTTTTAATTTGATGCTAAATGTTGAATTAAATGTCAAACTGAGAAGCTTCTCCAAACTGTCCTCTTCATTTTGTGATTGTCCAACCTAAGACACAAAGAAGATCAGATTATCAGTGATTGATTTTAGGTCAACGAAGGGCTCAGGTTTGAAGAAAATGGCAGCAGCGGTACCTTTAAGTTCAGCTGAGGTCAGGCTCATTTAATTCCATCCCCCCACAGAGGAGCTGCTCTCCAGGTCCTCCAGGGCAACAGCAAAATCTTCTCCTTCACTTTCATGTTCGAGCGTTCCTGCAGGTTTCTGTGGACTTTCTTTGTTTTCAGGATGGACTTCGGGTTCTGCTCGTTTGCCTTCTTCAGTGTCGGTCAGCAGCTCGGCAGGTTCGATGTGTTCCTCAGCGTCCAGCCACTCGTCCTTGTCGTTTTCCTCCTCCGCTTGTTTTAAAGGTTCCTCTGTTTTTGTCTCACGGGGCTCACTGAGGTGCTCTGCCGTCTCATCTCGTCTTTCTAGCTGCAGAGCTTCTGCTGCCTGGACCTTTAGGGTTTGTTCTGCTGGTTCTGGCTCCAGTCCTTGGGTGCCGATGTTCTGGCACAGTGGCTGGGTTGCGATGACGGCTCTTAGAGTTGGAGCGGCACTTCTTTCTGTGGCCTGAGCAGCGCGCTCTGTTGGGTTCGGACTCTCTGGTTTTTGCTCTGCAGACTCCACAGCCTGAGCACCAGCTGCAGACCTCTCGACCCATTTCAAAGGTTCAGCTGTCTCTGCGGGAGGTGAAGCGGGGGCTTGTGGGACATGTAGTCCAGTGATGCTCTGGGTGACAACGTGGCTTTGGGCTGGTTGCAGTCTTTGACTTTCTGACGTGTTCTCTCTGAGCTCAGCTAAGTTCTCTGTTCTTACATCCTCTGTTGTTGCACAGACTTCAGATGTTTCTGGAGCCACTTTGGTTCTTTCTGGAACACCAGATGTTTGCTCATGACCTTCAGAGCCTTGTGGCTCAGTTGTTGTTGCAGACTGTTCACTAATCACCTCTTCATCTTGTCTTTCCGTGTCTGACTTACCCCTGGTTGGCTGATCTTCTGCTTCGGCTGATTCTTTTTGATCCTTTACTTTTGTCTCGGAGTCAACAGCTGATCCAACGTTTGCTCCTGGACACTCGATCTCCACGTGCTGTATTACTTCTCGAACTGTCACCTGAACTTCTTCACGTATTGTGTATTCTTCAATTTCTGAAGCAGCAGAGAGATTTTCTACGTCTTCGCTGGGTTCAAGGCAAACGTGGATCACCTCTTTGGCTTCGGTAACTCCAACCTCAAGCACTGTGTCAACGGTACTTTCAGCTGATCTGATCTCATCCGTCACCTGCAGCTGGACTCTGTGGTTCTCCACTGAAGATACGTGCACCATCGCCGTCTCATTCATGTCTCTCACTAACGGTGCTGCAGTCTCGAGCGCTTCGTTAAACTCTGTTTGGCCTTTGGTTTGGTCCATCAGTGGTTCTTGAGCTGAAACTTCTAGTTTCTCAGATGAAGCGTCTTTAAGCTTCCGAGCGACTTCATGTGATGTGACACCATGGTCAGTTTTAGCCACCTCCGTACCTGGAAGTTCATGTGCTTCTCCCATGTTTACGCTCTCCTGCAGTTGATGGAGGCTCTCATCTGAACAAGGCGTCGGGGTTTTCTCAGGACTCATGGTCTTTTGTAAGACCTGAGCACTCCCTGGTTCCTTGTTAGCAGAGGGGATGTGGACTGCAGTTGAAGCTTCCTTCTCCTCTACATCTTCAGGTGTGGTTTCTTCATGTTCAGCCTGAACGTCACATAGAAGACTTTGTGGTTCCTGACCCTTGAGTATCTTCTCTGAAGCCTTCTCCAGCCCAGCTTTTCTCTCATCTTCTTCTGTAACAATCTCAGTTTGTTCTGGTTGAGGAGCATCTTCCAGTAATGTTTGCCTTTCAAGTTCCTGAGTGATGATTTCCTCAATATGTTCAGCTGGAGGTTGAGATGTGTCCGTTTCTGTGACAGCTGTAGCGTCTTGTGAAGATACTTCTGGCTTCACAGACATTTCTTCTTCTGACTCGGTACCAGTTTTAGTTGTCTGTTTAGGTTCATCTGTAGCTGCTTCCACAGCTCCAGTGTCTGGTTTTAGTTCTTCTTTGGGAGACTCTGGGCTCCCTGCCTCTACATCAGGTGTAGGAGCTTCTTCAACATTCTCCCTTTGAGGAGCATCCTCTACATCAGCCTTAACTTGAGTTGCAACTTTTGGCTCCTCTTTGGGTTCCTCTTGATCTTTGTCTGGTGGTGGAAGTGCATCTTCTGAAAGTACTTCCTTTTCTACAGAAGGATCTCTACTTTCCTCTGACTCTGAAGTGGCTTTGAATACAACTTCAGGTACTTCTGTAACTTCAGATTCTTCTGCAACTTTAGGTACTTCTGTAACTTTAGGTACTTCAGTAACTTCATGTACTTCTGTAACTTCAGGTACTTTTTTAAATTCAAATACTTGTGTAACTTCAGATTCTTCCGTTACATTAGACACTTCGGTAACTTCATGTATGGGAGCACATAAAGTAAATGTATGTACTTCTGTAACTTCAGATACTTTTTGAA